CTGACTGCAAAAGGGAAGTGTAAAGCAGCATCCATTCATACAGTTAGTGATTTGAGTAATTCAAGTCCGGTGCAAAAACGCATGATCGCACGGGCCCACCCGGTGCGTTCCAGCCTGAGTTCCGGCTGTTTCGGTTTCCTAGATTTATGTAAATCTACGTCTGGAAAATAGTGCAAAATGGCTATTGCAGAAATGCAAAAACTGCAATCAAACCAATCACGTGCTTAAAATGCCTGTTTAGAACACATAATTATGTTTTGAAAATGCAAGAATGCAAAACCTCATCAACATTACTTGCAGAGAATTATTAATTTTCACTTTTTCCGTGTCTCCTCACCTTTTAGCTTCAAAAGGTAAAGCAAATATCAAAACTCAAATCCTAACATTTTGCGTATTGTACAAGCTGATGTCCTAGATATTCGTCAGGATCGCTAGTAGATTGACCACTGAGTAATGCAGCACTGATCAAAGCAACTGGAAAAGTTACCAATTCCATGAATGGAGTACCACGCTATGGATCGTAGCTGATCGAAATATCAAAGTAAATAACTGTAAGACAAAATTTAATTTGACATCACATGTTGAGTGTTGAAATTTAAGGAATGCGACAGCGGAGAACCTGACAGCTGAAGAGAAATTATCAATTGCAAAACGGAACAAATTTTTGAATGGTGAAGTAATCCGTTTGCTGGAAAGATGCACCGCTCAGCAAAAACAAGCTGCCCAGCTAAAACAGTACGTTCATGTCTTAAACAATGATAGAACTGTAGAACTAACACTGAGAGGTTTTCAGCTTCTTACGCTTGTGCAAATGAAAAAAAAAAAAAATCATTTTATTTCTAACACACCTATTTCTGTACCGCACTATATATGCATATGTACATATATGTAATATGAATTATGTCAATATATATATGCTCGATACATATATATGTATATATATGTATGCCGAGCTTCACGAATGATATAATTCATGCTGCGAGCGGACCTTACCGGATAAAAGAGATATTACTGGAGGAGCTCAGTACACCCTGAAAAATAGAGCATCGAAAAATTAAGGTGATGCAAAGCCCCAGTATGCATGCGTCAAAATTGCAGATAGATGGTGTTGGTTTGGAAGAAGTTGACAACTACATTATCTTGGTAAAGAATTAGACATAAAATGTAAAACTAATCATCGATTTTAGTCATACACTATAAGC